CTGGGCACAGGACATCCGCTGGCGCTGCCCTTCGCAGAGGAAGATTCGCCAAAATTCAGGGGCCCTTCACCGCAGGCTTTCTCCCTCTCAGTATCCATCTCAGAGCAACACAGCCACACCAAGGGGCACGGCCCGGGACGCGCCCGCCACAGTGCTTGGACAGCAGGGTGGCCCACCAACGAGAGACTGGCTGAGACCGTGGTAATCCATGTGGGGCAATAGGATAGTAATTACGTGGCTACGGTGCCCAGACTTATTGTAAGTGAAAAACCAACTGTAAAACGAAACTACAGTGTGGTTCCATTTATGTAACAGGGGAAAAAAAACTGTGAAACAAAATTATATATTTATACACACAGAGATAGAAGGATAGAAAAAGTAGTGACATATCCGTCACACTGTAGCATCAAGTACCTCTGGGGGAGAAATTAAAATCGTGTGTGTAGGGGGATGGATTTTGTTTTTTAAGATTTATTTATTTGAAAGGCAGAGTAACAGAGGGGGAAAGACAGAATCTGCTGGTTCGTTCCCCAAATGGCTGCAACTGCAAAGGCCGGACCAAGCTGAAGGCAGAAGCTAGAACTCCACCCAGGTTCTCTCACATGGGTGGCAGGGGCTCAGGAACTCGAGCCATCACCTGCCTCCCAGGGTGCATATGAGCAGGAAGCTGGAACCAGAAGCAGAGCAGGGACTCCAACCCAGGCACTCGGAGATGGGACGCAGGTGTATCCCAAGCAGTGTCGTAACTCCTGCACACTGAACACCAGCCTGCGTGCGAGGAGCCTGAGTGTTGCGTGCGGCCTCATTAATCCACAGGGCTCTGAGCTTAGGCTAGGTTAGCCACTCGGCACACCAGCCCTGGGGACAGAAGCGTCCAGAGTGCCTGCACTGAACAAGCTCAGGTCGGCCAAAAGCAGAAAACAAACTGGCTCTGTGGCTCTGTGCCCAGAGACCAGCGGATGGCCACGTCCGCCCACAGGGGAAGGCATCTGTGCGGTGGGCTGCGGCCCCGCGCCAATCAGCGGGACCTGACTTAGGCAGTGTCTGAAGCCGCCTCCAAAGGCTACAGTGCACACGAAGGCTTTGCTACTTGGGGTGCGGGGACCCCAGGATACTGCAGCCCTAGTGACTCATTTTCATCACCATGTGACACTCCTCAAGCTTCCTGTAAGTGCAGGGTCCCTGTCTTCAAGCCAGGTGCCGGGAGGAGAACAGGTACTGGCATGGCCCCTGCCTCGCAGTCCTGGGCAGTCTGGGCAGGGTGGGGAGGGTAGGAGGAAGTCGCAACAGCAATGGGCCATCCTGGCATCCCCAGACCACAGGCCGTGGTGCAGCCTGGGAGGTGCAGGCCCCCAGCAGACAGATGGCCGGCCCGAGGCCTCTGCACCTGCCTTGCCTGCCTCACAGTGGGGGCAGGGATGAGCCAGTAGCTGGGGAGAAGCCCTTCCGGAAGCTACAGCCCCACGCAGGACTGCCTGTCCTCATGATGACCACGAGGAAGAGGAGTGCAGGATCAGCCCCTTCCCACCCCACCCCCCCGGCAAGGTGAGCCGTCCCACCCCCACACAGGCCCAGCGAGGACAGCGGGGACACGGGGTTGATAGGAATCCAGCATCACGTAACCTCGGGAACCTGTCCACACCCGGCTCCTGCTGTCCCGCAGGCACGCCTGTCAGCGCTATGGAAAAAGCACCTCACAGCGCAGGGCCCGGGGCCTTGTCACAGTGGAAACCCAAGGCCCAGGCTCCTTCGTTTACCAACCTCCCAACTGCTCAGCCGCCCAGCGGCCAGCTACCACCTGTCCCCTGCCCAACACTGGGTCAGCCACGACAGAGAAGACACGATTAGCACAGAGGAAATCGCTGGTGAAAGTACCCCACAACATGAGCAGTAATTCAAGGGGGTTAGAAAGGTCAGGGGGAGAGTGGGCTGGAGGAAGCCTAGAGAACTTTCTGGATGAGGCAGCAGCTCTTGGCCTCCTCCCTGGAGGGTGGTGAGGGGAGAGCACAGAGGGAGCGCAGGCAGGGCGGACGGAAGGAGCTTGGTGAGGGGAATGGAGACCTCATGGAGAGCTGTGGGGTGTGTGCGTGTGTGGGCCCACAGGACTGAAGCCTGGAGAGACAGCCAGAGGGCTATCCGACGACACCGGGGTGGGGGGACAGCAGGGAGCTGGTGCACGCTCCCCCACCGCGCCTGGTCAGGATTAAAGTACCCCACATCCAGAGGAGGATGAACGAACAGGTGCAGGGCACAGAAGCGAGCGACAGAGGTCACCAGCTCAGAGGAATGTCCCGTCTGCCCCATCTACCTACTCTAAATTTCACTCATTTTGGAGTATTCGAAGTCTTACTAAATCTGGGGTGGGGTGGAAAACCCAGGGAGGCAGGGAAGTAGACAGCAGCCCCCCTCAGTAACGAGGTCTGAAGGACAAGGCAGTCGAGAGGGAAGGGGGTGCACGCGGGGACGGTGTGTGAGGCAGGAAGGTCCCAGGCGGAGCCGCAGACTGGAGGAAGGGGCAGGCGCAGCCCGGCTCAGGTGCACCTTTGCACAGCCACGCCTCCTGCTTCTCTCTGCCTGCACCTGCCCACACGGAACTGCCACCCCCGAAAAGGCCATGCTGGCTTGTGCCTCAGGACCTTGGCACAGGCTGCACACCTCCTTCTGAAATGTCTCCCCTCTCCCCTTCCCTGAATTCCAGCTCTTCCATTAAAAGCCAAAGCCACCTCTTGGACCACCAGGAGAAATCGGTCTTAGCCCTGTGCAAGGCCACGTTCCTTCTGCAGGCACCGTGGGCCCCGAGCCTGTCATGGGAGGGAGGAACCCTCTCCGCTTCTGGGAGCCTCCACTGTCTCACTTGGTACTCCGACTGGGCCGCTCCGGTAGCTGGCTCTGTAAAGATGCCCTGGAGACAGCTAGAAAGGGCAGGCATGGCATCCTGCAGTCGGGAAACGCCGGCTGGACCTCTAGGTGACGTTGTCTGGGCAGCAGCTGGAGCCGACGATGAAGCCTGGCTGCCCAGCAGGAGGGGAGGCGGGTGTGCACAGGAGAGCAGGTGCGTGGACCCAGACATGGAGGATGGGGGAGCCGTCAGGAAGGGCATGGGGAGGCAGAGCTGGAAGAGCTGCGAGGAGCCCGAGACACAGGGCGACATCTGTACCTTCTTACCCCGCTGAGGGAGCAGTCGCTGCTCTTCAGCCGGGGGCCTGAGCAACCTTGAGGCCACCTGTGTTTTCCCAACAGCCCCTTCCCTGTCCCCCAGCACAGCATGGCACGGCAGGGGACTGTGTGGAGCCTGGAGCCGGGCACCCACAGGAGCAAGAAATCTCCACTCCCGTCCCATCCCGGCCACTCCCCACTTGCCAAGGGAGCTTGTGGCCCGACACATCACTCTCGGGGTCCCCAGTGCCCAGCCTGGAGGCCAGGGGGCCGGCAGTGCTAGTGCCTGTGCTGGGCAGCATGGACTTCTTTATGGACATCTTCCACTGTGGCGTGGCAATCGGGAGTGGTTTTATTAGCAGAAAACCTGCTTTGTTCAGGCGTCTCCGTGTTGCCAATCACAAGTCCCCTACAACATGTTACATTAAGTGCCAACTTGTTCATGGTCTCCTGTTGAATGCCCAGTGTTCCCTTGTATTGGCTGGGGCAGCAGATGGCAAAGGTTTCTGATTTATGACAAAAGCCCCGGAGGAGGGCTGAAGCTGGCGTCAGGTACGTGTGGCCGATGCTGCTCCCTACTTGTGCAGGGAAAACCCGTCCTCAGATTCAGCACTGCGGAGCATCTACCTGGCATCTTCACCGCTCCCGGGCGCTGAGTCTGACCACGGACAGCCTCCATGCTGCTGCTCGCCAGGGGCACAGTGTGAGAACCACAGAATTTTCTACACAAGCCTTCAGGGCCGAAACCTGAGTGTCTGGGCTTCCTACCTCCTATGACGCGAGCGCAGACCCCTGCACAGCACAAGGGGTTACAAAGCAGAGCCCCTGTCCCAGAAGGAGGGAAGAGCCCCAGGGCCCGGATCCCCACCCCAGGCCACACTCAAGCTCAGGGTTAAGCGCCTCTCTCCCCCTAGACCTCGGCCAGGCTGCCCCTTTCCCAGCTCTTCCAGGAGCCCCAAGGAATTGGAGACGAATTCGCCAGACCTGCGGCCCCGTGGGCGCCCTCCAGAGCAGCTCTCACACAGCTCTCCTGTCCTGCTACAGGCAGGTCACACCCACTTCTTCTGGAACTTTCTCTACTAACCCAGCCCAGGAGCAGCAGCTCAACACACCCGCTGGGCGGGGCCAGCGCAGCAGGTGGAGCTGCTGCTTGCAAAGAGCTCCAGTCCACTCCTGACTACTCCACCCGGTTTCAAGCCAGACCCCCGGGAGTCGTCCGTGACTCGGTTTCCCCAGCCTCCAGCCCGTCAGAAAGCCTCATTTCATTCTGCCTCCGAAACACACCTCGCGGCTGCCTTCTCGCGCTGCCACTGGAGTCTGCACGCGAAAGCCTCCACGGCCCCCCGGGACACTCAGGTGCTAAGCAGCCTCCCGCAGGCCCCACGAGCCCTGCCGGCTGCCCCAGCCTCGGCTGACCCCACTTTCTCCCTCGCTCTTTCAGCCCAGGGGTGCCTCTGACAGAGGAGCCAGGGCCTCTTTGTTCAGTCTCTTCTGCCTAGAACATTCTCTCACATCCCCTCCACACACAGTTCTTAGACGCCACCTCCTCCAAGAAGTCCCTCCTGACCACCCCATCGAAAGCAAGCCTGGGTTTTCGTTTTTTCAGCCCCCTAAGGGCAAGGGGGCACACACATGATGAGACCCGGGCACTGCAGTGAGCGCATGGACACGCAAACCAATCACTACCCAGGGATGAAGCAGCTCCCTAGACATTTGAAAGGTGCACCTGAAGCGGACAGCAAGGCTCAGCCAGGCCCGGACAACAGTGCCCAAAGGTGGCTGAGGCCGGCGTCTAGTTTCCCGGCTCTGCAGGCGGTCGGGGCCCAGGTCAGAAGGTGCCTCACCTCCCTTTTCCAGCGTGCCAGCCACTCGTCCCGCTTGCGTTTGCTGATGTAGTAGGGGTCGCCCGCCTGGAAGGTGAGCCGCGGCATGGGCCGCTGGCGGAGGCTGGACTCCCAGCCCAGGCCGCCCCGCAGCCGGCCCCGGGAGCCCTAGGACAGACACAAAAGACAGACGGATGGGTGTTAAAGTGGGCACTTCGAGCCCTGCGCCAAGGCTCGCTTCTCCCAGAGGGGCCCCAGAGGGCACTCACGTGGCTCAGCGCACTCCTGGCCAGAGCAGAGCGGGGTGCGTGGGTGGGCGGGGGCACAGAGCCCACAACCAGGAGGGGACAGCAAGGGGAGGTGCTGGAGCAGGCGCGCTGGCCTCTTGGGGGACAGCCGGCCTCCTCCCAGCCTCCACCCTCACCGTGCAAAGAAAGGGCGGGACAAGACTGAGGAAAACACTTGCCTCCATTTTCATGGATTCCACATTGGTCTCCTTCTGTTCTTTGCCTGTGGGGAGAGAAGAACAAAGGGTCAGTTGGCAGAGTCACTGGGAGCGGCTTGGAGGCCCCACTTGTGCCGGGGGTCCCTGGCCTGCCGGTGGCAAGCACGATGGCTCTGAGGAATCGGCAAGCCCTGGAACAGAGGGCACCGGGGCCGCTCTAGGGCTGAGCAGGAACGCAGGGCTCTGGGCTCTGGCTTCTGGCCGGGCCGCCCCCAGCCACCAAAGTGAGGAGCAGCATGGCCGGGCTTGTGCCCGGGGCATGCCCAGGTGCCCTCCAGGCCCTGGCGTGCCTGTGTGGGGTGACCCCATGTCTGCAAGAATCAGGGTCCTCAGCTGGGAAATCAGGTGCTGGCCGGGCTCTCCAAGGTTCCGGATGTTTGGGTTCAATTATGAGCAGTCGCCTCTGTCCCTCCTGCCTCCCTGCCCCCTGTGTGGGCTCTCTGCGCTGGGCAGATCCAGGCAGGGGCTCAGGGACCTCCCCCCAGCTGCTTCTCCCCGAGTGAGATAAATGTTCTACAGTCAGCAGGCGGTTATACAGTGCTGGTGCAGGGCTGGGCATACAGTAGATGCTTAACACACGCGGTGTGTTCCCCTCTGCTGACACCCAGCGCTTCCCGCGGCTCTTCCCCGGACTCCCCCACAGCACCCTGTCCTCCTGGCCTGGTCCTCAGCCCTCGGCGCCCCTGGCAGGCCCTGCACCCCGGTCCCACAGCCGCGGGCCAGCTGCCCAGGCCTGCCCTGGATCCAGGCCCCCGAACGTCCTTCTCTGATGGCGAGACACAGTAGAGCGTGGACCCAAAGCAGGAAGGTCACGGCGCTGGCTCAGGGTAAGGTGGGGTGGGGGGGTGGGGTGTCGGGGGTGGGGGTGGGGGCGGGGGGAGTCAGAGCCCAAAACGGAAAAAACAGCCCCTGCTTCATCTCCTGGCCTGGGGCGGAAACCGCCAGGGCATTGACGGGCTCTGAACACTCAGCCCCCTCCCCCACGGGGAAGGCGCAGGGGGCATGGGGCTGGGGTCGGCCTCAGCAGCAGGCCGGAAGGGCCGGGCTCTGCGAGGGGACCCCCGCGGACCCCCGTGGACCCCCGGGCCGGGCGCCGGGCGAGTCAGACTGGCGGGGAGCGGCCAGGGAGGAAGCACGTGTCTGCCACGGGCACGTGCGTGGGCGGCCGGGCGGGCGCAGCGTACGTGGCCGGCCTTTGAGGGCCCGTCTTCCCCCGCCGCGTCTGCGCCTCTTCCTCCCCGCTTCCTTTACGTCGTCCTGTCTCCCTCCGCGGCCGGCTCCCCAACTTTCGCGGGGCCCCCTCCTCCTCTCAGCCCTCAGCTCCGCCAGGCGAGGCCCTGGGCTGCCAGAAGGGGGCGCCGGCCCCGGATCGGCCACGGCCTGGTGGGCCCGGCCGGGCCTCCGCGCGGGGCCGACCCGCTGCGGGCCTCCTAGTGGAGCCCGGAACAGCTGCAGCGGGCTTGCGGCCGGGGCTGGCGTGCGCGACCCCGGGGCTGGCTCCGGCTCCGGCACCGGCACCGGAGCGGGTCCCTGGGCCGCCGCCTCTGCCCAAGCCTCGGCCGGACCGCGGGTTTCCCACCTGGGCCCTTCCGCGGCCTGTGACACTGAGGCGGAATCATTTATTCATGAGCATGGAAGGAAATCAGGGCTCACAGCAACGGTGCAGATGACTGAACGCTGGTCCAGCCCCAGGTCTGGCAGATGAGGGAAGTGAGGCCTGGGGAGTGGCGGGAGACCAGAGGTCGGGGCTCCCTGACGACCGAACCCCCAGCCCTCGCCACTGCCCCACCCCCTTCCGGATTCCGCAGCCTCGTGCTCCCCAAAACAGAATGACTTTTCGTTATGTAGTTTCTGACTTCTTTCTGGAATGTTCTCCCGGACAGGCTCTGCGCATGCCCAGAGGGATCGCGCACGCGCACGCGCACACTGTCCAGGCTGGCCCAGTGAGACGCCCCCCTGGCTGCCTGGAGCGCGCGCTTGGCTGGAGCCTGGGAGGGGCAGCTGCTCCCTCGGCACCAGCCCCATGCAGTCCATCTGCTCCTGGCCCAGACCCACGGGCCCTGGCAGAGCCAGGTGGCTGTGTGCCCTCCAGGGTGGTCCTGACAGGCCCGGACAGGACCCTGGGGGCGTCTTGGGGCGCAGCAGGCGGGGGAGGCCACGGCTCGCGACCCTTCCCTGTTGGTCCAGGACGACACCCAGCCGGGGGCCCAGGTTCTTTCTCAACAACCCTGAACCTCCAGGACAGAGCCGAGGCCAGGTTCACCTCAGGGCATCGCTAGTCCGGGGCTGGCCCTGGGCCCAGTTCGAGCGGAGAGGAGCTCTCTGCTGGCCTTGATCCCGCCTCTTCACTAGCTGGACAAGCCTGGGCGGGTCATTTTGCCTTTGTGGACCCTCGGTGTCCCCATCGGAAAATGGGGAGCACTCAGAGTGCTCCTCACAGGATCAAGGCGGGGGCGCGAGGGTTTCTCAGACTGTAGGGTGCACAGGAATCCCAAGGACATCTTTCAAGCATGGTTCAGTAGGTCCCAGCAGGACCTGAGACTACATTCCAGCCTCCCTGGCTCGTGGATGGCTGTGGGCAGCAAGGCTGGAGGACAGCCAGCCCACAGTGGGCGGCAGGGAAGGAGAGCCACGTTGCGGGGCCACCTGCCATCACCTGCCTGTCCGGGGCTGGCCCTTGTGCCGGCCGCTCCCTCCTCTCGGTTCTTTCTCCTGGCTGTGCTGGCAGAGCCTGGGCTCCCTGCGTGCACACAGGAGGGTGCGCGGGCCACAGGAACCTCTGCTTTTGCCATGTCGGAACCAACGAAAGGGGGTTCCGGTGGAGATGGAGACAGAGGGGGCCCCCGAGAAGAGCCCTGGAATGAGGGGAACTGAAAGGAGATGGCGGCCAAGTTACTTCCTCCCGGGCTGGGGTGTCGTTCCTCATCGGAACCAGCCAGCTGAGCATGCGCTGTGCATCAGCTGACCACTGGGCCGGGAGCCGGCCTCTGCACCTGCTGCCCCTGGCAGATCCTCTCCTCCACTGCCCGTCTCCCAGCTCAGCATCTGGGCCATTCACGGTGGCCTGCAGGGGCCCCAGAAAAGCGTTTCCACTTCCTGGATAGCTGGGGCCAATGGCAGTGTCCCCAGCTGCCATTTGTGTTTTGGAGGTCAAAGAGACTTCCGGCAGGTTTTTTTTTTTTTTTGCCCACCCAGACTAGCACTTAAAATTCTGAGGAAGACCCACCCAGTGTCTGGAAGTCCCAGACCCACGCGGCACACCTGACCAGCCCATCTACACGGCCACCTGGCTCACAGGTGCTGCTCCCTGACACAGCCCCCAGAACCTCTCCCCCTGCCACAGGTGGCAAGTGATCTTTTCACATCACGAAGCCGAGTGCACCACCCTGAAAGCCCGGTCTGGCCCCCTGTGTCTCTCCCCAGCTCTCTCCACGCCTGCCTTGTGGCTTCTGCCTGCTCCCTTGCACTGGGGAGCCCACCTGGGAGCGAGTGTCCCCGCTCTGCCCCCACATGACGACTCTGGCTCCCCCTGCAGCTCGGGCTCACTCAGCACTCAGCTCCGGGCACCAACACACGCTTCCAAGTATGCATTTCTGTCTCTCCGGCCCACGGTGAGGTCCCGGAGGGCGAAAACCAGGTTCCTGCTCCTGTGGGTTCCCTCAGTCCCTGACACAGATCCTGGCACACACTAAACTGGTATCTGGTAAACACCTGTTGACTGGCTGAAGCAGGTACTCCCGTGAGCAATAGAAAGGGAGATGGGGGAAATCCCAGACTGAAAGCCAACCAAAACCAACCCGTAGAGTTGCCCAACAGCCTGGAGCATGGCTCCATGCACCAGGCAGGAAGCACAGCCGGCCTGAGCAGCGGCAGGGTGCCAGCCACAGGTCGGTCCCAGCCTCTGGACACCCAGAGACACCTGCCCACAGCGAGCACCATGTCGAGCTGGGAAGGGATCCCACTTCTTCTCTGCCTCAGATTCGCCCCACCCAGACCCCATGAAGTGTGAGGACACGCAAGGAGGCCTGCACGGCCACGGGGGGACCACCCTGGCACTGAGCACCTCCATAGCAGCAGGAGGCTGGAAGGCACAGGACCAGGATTTTGTGAGCCCTGGGTCAGCTGCGGACAGGCCTGGGCCGTGAGCAGGCACTCTGTCTCCGAAAGTCTCCTTTTCTCCCTCCCCTACAGATGGGCACAATGCCACCTGGGATGGAGTCAATCAAACAACAGGGCCTGAGAGAGTGGTTGGCACACAGCCGGGGCAGTATCAGTACTGGCTGAATAATAAATGCAAGATATTATAAATCACACTTGGAACTCTCGCTTCTGGAAATAGTCTATTCCGCAGGAATATTAGGTTCGGATGCGTGTGAAAATAGGTTCCGCCAGTTGATCAATTTACTCATTCCATCACCCGGCACTTGGAAGGAAGATGTTTTGAAATTAAAATGCACATATGCAAAGCAACCTGGCAGGACCCTGGGAGGGCCTGATGTGAGAACGCGAGAGGAGGTGCTGTGTAAGCTGCGAAGCCCTGTGCAAATGCTAGTTGTCCTCATTACTGACATGTTTACAGCTTGGTTGGCCCTGAAAGCGTTGGCTTAACCTGAAAGAGAACAGTGGGCAGCGCGCCAGGATTCCAGGGCCAGGCCGAAAGTCCCCTGACGGAAAGCTCTGGGCTAGGCCACGCAGGCCACCCTCGCCCCGCTGCCCTTGCCTCCCACCCTGCGTACCACACAGTCACGGCCAAATTCCCAATCAACCAAACCACCTGCTGCCCTGAGCGCCCCCGTCAGAAGCTACCTAACTGGGCAGTGCCCAAGAGCTGCTGGTCACGTGGTAGTGCAGGCAGGGGCCAGGCGGGATCTGAGGGAAACTGAGGCACACAGCCAGCCAAGGAGGCAGGGGGATGGCCAGTAACCCAGTGTAGCAGCCACTGGCATCATGCACACCCCCGTTGCCAGATCTAGCTTTGTCTCTGTGTGTGAGAAGCCAGAACTCCAGATTTTTATGTGAAATTTCTTGATTTTTAAATATTGGCAACTAATTTTTACAATATTTTACACACTACACGAGCCAAGTAAACCATGTGTGCGGGCCGTACTCAGCCAGTAGCCTCCGGGCCTCAGCCTGGGTGAGCAGCTCAGCTCCCTGCTCCCCAGCCTGGCCCTCAGGGACTCCAGTGGGGCCCAGAGAGGACACCCCTGTGCCGGGCACTCACCCTCGCCTGCAGGGGCTCCTCGGCCCTCCTTCGGGGTGCAGCAGCCATTCTCCACCGCTCTGGAGGCTTCGGGCGGGGCCTCGGCTGCACCCTCGCCCTCAGCTGGGGCCCCGCCCTTCTGCCCCCCAGCAGGGCTCCCCTCCTCCGGCTGGGGCTCACTCCGCTTCTCCAAGTCCCCGTTGGGTAACAGCTCGGAGGGGCCTGAGTCCTGGGCCATGGACGGGGACTTGGAGGTGACCGCAGGGTCCTTGGGCGTGTCGCTGCTTTCCACCTGGAGGGATGGAGACAGACACACAAGGGGAGGGTTAGGGCCGTGGTTGGAGTCCCCGGGCAGTGCTGCTGCGTGCTGCCCCTCTGGCCAGAAAGACTGCTCGCAGAACCCTGCAGTAAGCAGACCGGGCCGTGATCCTGCACACGGCATCGGCCTGAGCCTTTGAAGCCAAGGTGTGTGTGTGGACTCCAGCTTAAGTAACGGGAAAGGAAAGAAGGGGCACCCCCGTGGCCCGCTGTGGCCACACGGGGCTTCACAAACTCACCCCCATGCTGTCCGTTACGCCTGCAGGCTCCCCAGCAGTGGACCCCAGTGCCCCGAATCAGTTCTGGGGAGCAGGGCTGGCCTGCCCTCTGGAGGCCACTCAGAAGTGTCCTTCCCCTCTGCGTGGGTCCCCACAGGCTCTCAGACCACCCCAAGAGCCGAGGCCCCCGAGAGCAACACACAGTCTCTGCAGGACCCCTCTGAGCATGGGGCCCCTCCACTCCCCAAAGGGCCGCACTGCCTTCTCCCGTAGCGTCAGAGCTGAGCTCGCTAAGGTGTCAAGAACCAAGGAAAGGAACAGCAATCCCACCCGCCCTGGGCAGTGTCCCGTGTTGGGGCCAAGGCTCCTCTTGCCCATGAGCCCTCGAGGGCCTCTGACTCCCTGGGAGGCAGCCCAGGGACCTGAGGCTCCGGGAATTTTGTGATTGGCTCCAGCTCATGGTTTTTTAAGGACAGCTGCGTACCTCTTTGCCCTCTGCTGTCTGTGCATGGCCTGTCCTCGGCCACCTGGATGCAAGCGGCCAGGACATCTTGGGAAGAATGGACGTGTCCGTCTTGGGCGGGAGGAGGCAGGGGTCCCTGAGCTCACCACTCTGCCCCCACTTCCCTCCCCGGGCACTGGGTGCACTGAGTGAACCCTGCCCCACTGGTTCTGCTTGCAGAAAGTCTGCCCAGTACTGGCAGAGCAGACCTCCCAAAGGCTCAGCTCGCAGACACAGCCGCCTCGGTTTCCCCACCTGCCAGGTGCGATGGCCAGGCTGGACAAGTGGAGGCTGTGTGTTTCTTATTTTTATGATCTCAAATATTTTAAAGTTTTATTTGAAAGACACTGAGAGGGGGAGAGAGAGAGAGAGAGAGAGAGAGAGAGAGAGAGAGCAAGAGCACTTCCATCCACTGGTTCACTCCCCAGATGGTCCGAACAGCTGGGGCCGGGCCAGATGGAAGCCAGGAGCTCCATCCAGGTCTTCCACGTGTGGGGTAGGGACTCAAGATGCCCCTGCTAGGGTGCATCTCAGCAGGAAGCTGGATCAGAAGTGGGGCCGGGACTTGAACCAGGCACTCCAACATGGGATGTAGGTGCTCTTAAGGTACTGCCTCAAATACACGCCCCTTGGGTTTGTGTCTTTTTTTTTTTCAATGTATAAAAGTCAGACACGTGTGTTGTAGAAAATCCAAACCACACAAAAATGAATAGTGTTAAAGGATTAAAGCTCATATTCTAACTCCCTAACCCCAAAATTATTTCCCCAAGGTAAATCACTATGGTTTGGTGAGTATCCTTTCTAGATTTTCCAAGGTAAAAAAAAAGATTTTTTAAAAAAGATTTATTTATTTGTTTATTTAAGCCTGGAGCCTGGAGCCTGGAACTCCATCCAGGTCTCCCACATGGGTGACAGGGGCACAAGCACTTGGACCATCTTCCACTGCTTTCCCAGGTGCATTAGTAGGGAGCTGGATCGGAAGTGGAGCAGCCGGGACTCAAACTGGCACTTGTAGGGGGTGCCGGAGTTGCTGTCAGTGGCTTAAGCCAGTGTGCCACAACGCTGGCCCCTGTGTAAATTTTTTTTCCTACGATGTATAACGATGTGCAGGTTCCACGAGTACACACACGTATTCCCACACACACATCCGGACCCCAAGGTGGTGTTTGCTGAGAGGGCAGGCACCGCTCACAGCACTCTGCCTGTCCTCTCATGGAGCAGGCCCCGTGCCCATGGCTCCACCCCCGGGCAGGTGGGCCTGGCTCCTGGTGCAAGTGGCCATACGGTGGGGCTGCATTCCTGCCTACTTGCTTTTGGCAGCCATGAGCACCCTGCACTTAGGGCTGTACACACCTGTGTCCCAGACGTGGACTAGCCAGGTTAAGGGGCCTGTGTGTCTCCGTGTGGGGAGACACTGCCCAGTTCCCCCCAGAGGGCTGTGCCACCCAAGTGCACAACACTGGCCCCAGCCCCTGTCCTGCACGGTGCGAGCTCCAAGGTTGCTTCCCTTCTAGGGATCTAGGATTTCAACTCTGAGGAACCCCGAGTGGACAGACAGGGGCAAGGGCCTTGGAAAAACCCGGAACAGAACCAGGGTCCTCCCAGGTATACGTTCCTCCCTGCCAGGGCTTCCGGGTCCAGGAAGCCGCCCGAGGAAGCAAAGTGACTTTGCCAGGCTGCGTGGGGGGGGCTCCGCTCCATGGGAAGCCAAACTGTGTGCCCTCCTTGGCTGCTGGCGCACAGGGGCTGCATCAGGTCGGCAGCGGGGGGAGTGGGGTGGGTGAGGGGGTGGGGAGGCCTCCACTGAGGCCCAGCACAGCCAGGAAAGCCAGATGCAGGTGTGACATGGAGCGAGCAGACCCCTGTCGCCCCACGCAGCAGGGTCTCGCCTCTGCTGAAGCAGACAGGGCTCCGCAGGCCCAGAATGCTCCTCCCTGCCACCTTGCAGTCGCCCTGTGCAGGCAGCCTGGGGAGTGGCCCATCCCTGCCTCAACAGCCACCTTCCAGGGTCCAGCTGGGCCAAGCACCACAGAACCCTGGCAGAGCCACCACGAGGGAGGCAGGCAAGGGTCCCACGGACTCTGAGCCCCACGGAGCTGCTCGAGACGTCTCCTCCTGCCTGAGGGCCACACGGCCTCCTCTCGCCCCGGGACTCGCTTCCTGTTGACCACCAGCTCCGTAGCATGGAGACCCAGCATGCCCAGGCTGAGGGTCACTCAAGCAGGCAGAGTAGGAATGCCCCCCAGGCCGTGCAGCAGCCCATGCCCCTTTCTTTCTTCTGGAGCTGCTACCAAGGCTGGAACCCCCTTCCCACCTGTCCACACCCCCTCCCTGTGCTCTCTGCTCTGATGAGCCCCGAGTCAGCCAAGCTCTGGGATTAGAGAGAGCTGATGGCCCCTGCCAGGGACAACCCTTGACCCACCAAGAACCACCCCGGAGGACCGGCATCGATGCATAGTAGGTTGAACCTACGCGTTTGATACTGACATCCCATATCCACACCAGTTTAAGTCCTGGCTGCTCTACTTCCAATCCGGCTCCCTGCTAATGCACCTGGGAAAGCAGCAGAGGATGGCCCAAGTGCTTGGTCCCCCTGCCACCCATGTGGAAGACCTGGATGGAGCTTCTTGCTCCTGGCTTTGGCCTGGCCCAGCTCTGGCTGCTGTGGCCATCTGGAGAGAGGCACACTCAGCCAGGCCTGGACTTGGGCTCCACCTCCAAGCCCTTCCCCAGCTACCGTCTCTCTTCTCCTGTCCCCTGGCCCCAGCAGCATGTCACTCCTGGAGGCAGGGACTTTGCATGACTCAGCTAGACTGACAGGTGCCGGATCAGTATTCACAAGAGACTGATTACTGCAAAGCTAGGTTCAAAGTGATCATTTCCTGCTCTTAAGCTTGGAATTGGAATGGTGGTATTGCTGCCGGGGCAGAGGTAACTGGTAAACCCTCTCTCGTTTGCTTTGATTTTGTCTGCTGCCTTGAAAGGGGCCGTGGGACCCCTGGGGCTGTCACTGCGCCCATTACCTCTGACCACTGTGGAAGCCATCAGCAGCAATTGCAATTCTGACTTCCTCTCTCCTCACCTGTGGCTGTGGGAGTGGGCGGGGGGAGACACAACAGGAACAGCAGCAGGGAGCAGCCCTTCCTTCTACTCCCCCAGCTCCACCCTGGGTCTGAGTAAGGCAGGGTCCTGTCTCCCACAGCCCATCACGCCTCATGCTGGGCTTCAGACCCTGCCCAGCTCTCAAGGGGTCCCTCAGGGTTTGGGGACCACAGCTTTCCTTCCTGGCAAGACCCCCGTAGCCTGGGGACATGGCCTCCTGCCTCTCTGCTGCCTGTCACCACCCTCCCTCAGGCCTCTCAGCTGGGGGCCATCCACTTGGCTGTCACGTGGAGGAGGGGTACTGGCATCCAGTGGGTCAGGCCCAAGACGCAGGACAGCCCCTGTGGCAGGGAGTCACCCCCAGATGTCAAAAGAGGCTTTGAAAAACCTGGGGGCTGCCTTTTGTAAAACTTTTTAAAAACGGTGATAAAATATATGTAACATAAAATTTACCATTTTACCCACTTTCCAGTACACATTAAGTGTGCTCACGTGGCTAGACCCCAAGCAGGAACTCAGGCCCACAACCATGATTCTGCTGTCTTCTAAGGAATACTTTAAAGTCTGTGTGTCTCACGTGCACACAGACATGCACCTGCAGATGTACACACAGATACACCCACAGATGCACACAGACATGTACAGATGGGCACACAGAGATAGGCGCACACACAGATGCAAACACACACAGACACACACAGAGATGAACACAGAATGCGCACACACAGACACAAATGCACCTATGCACACACACAAATGCACACAGACACAGAGACACATACAGAGTCTCACATACACAGATGCACACACACAGATACAGGGGCACACACACATGCATACACAGACACACACAGATGAACACACACCTCCCACCCAGCTCCCTGCTAATGTGCCTGGGAAGGCAGCAGAGGATGGCCCAAGTGCTTGGTGCCCAGCATCCATTCGGGAGACCCGGAAGGAGCTCCTGGCTCCTGGATTTGGCGTGGCCCAGCCCAGGTCATTTGCGGCCTCTTGGGGAGTGAACCAGCGGATAGATGCGCACACACAGACACAACTGCACATACGCACACACACAAATGCACATAGACACAGAGACACGTGGAGTTTCTCTCTCACACACAATGTACGCATACAAAGATGCACAGAGAGATG